AGGTATCTCTGGTGCTGACTCACTCCCCTCCCATCCTGAACTCACCATTATAAAAACTCCTTTGCCAGGGAAGGCAACTGACGGGAGTGGACACGGAGGCTCCTGCTGAAATGCACAGGGATCGCACAGGGCAGTAACATCTCCTAATATTAGCACCGAGGCTCTGGAATCAGTCAAGCTTAGGTTTGGATCCCAACTCCACTACTGCTTGGGGACGTCCCTTGGTGCCACTGACATCTGTAAATGATGACAAAAAGCACTTACATATACAAAGCAGATGCCAGGCACAATTCTAAGTGCCCTTCTATTAACTCATAACAACCTTATTAGGAAGTTACTCATCATCACATCCATATTACAGAGGAAGAAATTGAGGCACGGGGTGGTGAATTAACTTGCTCAAGGTCTCACAGGATCAGCACTAGGATAAGTCCACACCCAGTGTGGCTCCTTTGCTTTTAATGACCATGTTTGGGAATCTTATCGGTATTAGATGGGATAATAATAGAAACTATGACTTATTAGGGGCTTACTCAGTGCCAGGCACTGAACTAAATGCTATATAGGAATTTTCTCATTTGTTCATCCCAATGCGTGGATGAGGCAAGAACTATTGTTAGGTGCTAACATCACCCTGGCAGGACAGCCAACTGTATACAAAGCCCTATGTTAAGGACTGGGCCTTCAGGAGATTGCTATGGCATAGTTAAAATGTGTCCATAATAGCTGTGATTCATGGTACAATCATAGCTTGATGGAGCTGGAAGAAAGCTTAAAGGTCATCTGGTTCAGACTCATTTTTACTGATGGCAAGAACCAGTGTGTGTGTGGGAGGGTGGTGGGGAGGTTTATTCCCACAGGAGTTCTGGGAGAAGATTTAGTGAGATGATAACAACAGCCAGCACTTACTGAGTTTGGGTGCTGTGTGTGCTTGTGTGTTCATCTCATTCAACCCTCCGACCAGATGAGGGTGACATTATTATTATCCCAGTTTCACAGATATGGAAACTGAGATGTTGAGAAGTTGAGCAAGTACCTTGCCCAGCGGCACACAGCTAGCAAGTGGTGGAGCGAGGATGCTGCAGACTGGATTCCAGAGCTCGGGTGCTGAACCACCATGCTCAATGCCAGCCCAGTTAGAGAAGGAGGTTAAAAGGCCTGGGAAAAAGCTGGACTAGGTGGATGGGAAAGGCCTTTGGAGACTATGAAGTCTTGTACAGACACAAGTAATTACTGGAAAGAGGTAAATGTCCCAAGAGAGGTATAAAGTGGTATAGACTTCAGGGCAAAATCAAGGAAGATGTCCAGGATGAGATGGCGTTTGCTCCTGGGGTAGGAGTGAGGGCTGTCCAGAGTATGTGTGGGATGGGGGTGGAGTTTACTCCAGCCCTTCCCCATTGGCACGGGATGGCTCAGTAAGTTCGTTAATTGGCTCCTTAGCCCAAGTGAAGTGACCAGGACCACAGAAAGCTTTGGGCACCTAAAGCTGGGGTCCTGACTGCAAAGAACCTGATGGGTGGAGAGAACTGAGAGGGCACAGAAGGTTGGTAGCAGGTGGGGTGGGGGTGGCCAGATAGCCTGAGTCCAAATCCTGGTGTTCTCCCACCCTGTAGTTATGAGGCCACAGACAAGCTACTCCACAGCTCTCTGCCTTAGTTTCTTCATCTGAAGAATGGGAATGATAATAATGGTATGTACTTCAGAGGCTTGTGTAAATATAACATGCTCATCTGTGTGAAATGTTTACTGTGATGCCTGGCACAGACATTTCTGTCATTCTAAGCCCAGGATACCGATTGGTACCACTATCCAGAGAAGAATGGGGTTATAACAAAGCAGACACACGTCTATTTCAACCTACTTTCCTGGTAAACCTAAATCTGGCAGAGAGGAATGGCTTCACAAAATAACACAGACTAGCCAGCCCCTCTCCTCCATCCTTGGTTTTGTTTTTGCCAATCATTAGATTTGCTTTTCAGGGAAAGACAAGGAGAGTAGGAGACAGAGGAGGCAGAGGCCAGTGGGCTGCCAGTTCTGTGAAACCGGGCTGATAGACTGTCAGTGGTTTCTGAGTTACCACTCTTATTTCTGATATCATCCTTGTGCAGCTCTGTCGGAATTTCTGAACTCTTGTGAATTAGCCTCCACAGTCTCTTGTATACTGTGGGTTTACTCTCCATTCTTAGAGGCAGACACATTCTTGCAGAGAAAACGCAGATGGGGACAAAGTCCTTTCTTGAGCAGGTTAATGGCAAAATAGGATGACTATCACGGGGGCAGGAGGGGAGTAAGAGGAAAGAGAAACCAGTATGTACTGAGGTACCCCTTCATAGGACCAGGCTTGGTGAAGAAGCTGGCATGTTCCTGTCACACTAGCCCTGCAAGGAAAGGATTTAACTACATTGTACAGATGTAGAAACTGGCCCAGAGCCACAGCTTGTCCATAGATGTGGAAATCCCACCCAGATCTATTCAACACTAAGAGTCACCCTCTTTCTCTATAGTATGTGAAAGGGGTATAGGATTAAAACAAGTGTCTTTACTGGTGCTTGAAAAATAACATTTTTGGGTGCACTTTATCTGAGAAACTCCATTGACTCAGAGCTGCGGGCTGGGTTCACCTGACTTGGAAAAAGAACGCTCCATGGAAGGCTTGGCAAATTCTGCTCATAGGCCACTATAATGCCTAGGAAGCAAAGTGCGGGGAAAGGTCAGTCCTGCCTTGTTTCCAGGTGGAAGGCTACAGTTTGTTGTCATCAGCAAATCAATCTCCATCAGGATATAGCTACTTGTAGTTATGTTTTACTATTGCACATTTGCTCAGTGGCTTTCTGTCCAGGGAGGGGGAAATAGGTCAGAAGCACAAGGAACTATTTCTGGGCCCTGGCCTTTGGGAAAGCAGCCTTGTCCTGTTTACATATCCTCTCTCCAGATTTGCACAACCTGACCACAGAAACGTCACCCTCTAAGCCCAGGTAAACAGGCAACTAAATAGTCTCCAGTCAGCCAATAGCTATTAAGAAACCAAGAGAGCCCAGAAGCCTATACTAAGGAACTTTGATTAACACAGAGGAAAACAGCAGCCCAAGCCTCCTGACTTTGGGCTGCTGGAGCAAAGATGTATTCCCATCTTGGGGAGGAGGCCACACAGTGCAAATTCTGAGCCCCTCTCCAGCATGACCCTTGGAGTAGTCACCCCTTATAGTACCCATCCAGTTACACCACCAAATTGAGGTAGCGAGGGCAAGAGGAAGAAGGAAGTCTCTTATTCAGCAATGAGTCTGGATGAATCAGGCCTCCCTTAGAAAACAAAACTGGAAGAAGGGGCCTGTGTCTGAACTTTTACATCATCTTCTTCAAAAAGTTGGTTGGGAGTAGAATGTAGAATGATTCAGGAACATAAAATGGTAAAAGGTTATGAGGAGAGGGTTTTTCCAAAGAGCCAGGCACTCTTCCAGGTCAGCTTGTGCCCAGGTCATCAAAGTGTGTTGGCAGGGGAGAGGGAGGGTGGTAGGGAGACGGAGATAGAGATATGGAGAGAGGAGACAGATGGTAGATGAGGCGCATGCTTGCTGTACGGAGCCAGAAAAGGAAGTCATCACACATCTGAATGTGTCATTGCCGAGTTCCCAGAGACCAAAAAACCTGGGTCTGCCTGTCAAACATTGGATTTTCTTATGACCCTGAAGTCCCCAAATAAACTAGCCAGCTTCCCCCACTTCCCTATCAGCTATTTCAGAGATGCTACCAGTAGAATCTTATCTTCAGCCCTTATTGCCAATGCTGTTTTTGTTTGTGGTAAGGAGAAAAACAACTCTAGTGTTTCTGTAGGGATCTGCAATAAGTGGGTAAAGCTGAGCTGTAGAATGGAGAGAATTTGAGAAGTGACCCAAACCTCCACCAATAGCTGCAACTGAGGTGAGGCCTTTACCTCCTGGAAATGGAATGGTGGGGTTCAAATAAAATAATGTATGTGAACTTGTTGAGCCGAGCCCTGTCCCTTGGAGTCACATAAATGCACTTGTTCTGTCTCTATGGTAAATTTTGTCCTTTGGGGAAGGGAGGAAGAGGGAGGAAGTCACTTTCATATTGAGCTTTTTGAGACTGTCCCGGCAGCTTCATCACCTACCATCCACTCCTACCATCCTAATCCAAGGCCTCTCCCCATATCTACTCTTGCCTTCCAGAGTTTATTCTCCACACAGTAGCCAGAGTGATCTTTTTTAAAAACACAAATAGCATCTTGTCACTTCCCTCTTTAAAACCCTTCATATGTCCCCATCACAGAGTAGACTTAAACCCTTTGCTATGGGTTATTAGGCCCTAACGTGTGTTGCATCCTCTGACTTCATCTCCTATCATTCTTCCTGTGGCCCACTCTGCTGCAGCCACACTGACCTTTCTGTTCCTGAGCTCACCAGACTGTTCCCTCCTCAGGGCTTTTATATTAGCTGTCCCCTTTGCCTAAAATACCCTCTGTTCTCGTCAATTGTCGTAGAGGTCTTGTCTGATCACCCAAACTAAATGAGTAACCCCATCATTCTATTTCATTTGCTTCAGAGCAGATGGTAATGATACCAGTTCAACTGATCTTGTCTATCATTTATTGACTTGTTTGTTCCATTACTGAATCCCTAGTGCTAAGCAGAGCCTGGCACATAGTCGACCTCTAGTATTCGTTGGATAAATGATCGTTTCAAATCCTAACAACAATCTTGTGACGTCTGTGAGAAAACGGAGGTTCTGCTGGCTCAGGATGAGATTTCTGCTCTGACTGAACGCGGGACTCGCTTTCCTTCCCAGGATACCTCGCTCCTTCCACCGCAAGCGCAGCTCCCCTTCGCTCCCATCTTTCTCTCACACTTAATCCCTTTCTCCGGGAACGTCAAGCCGTACTTCCAGTCCCTTCTCAGAGCCTGGTGCTGTGGCTCTCAAGCCCTCCCACATTTCGGGGACTCAGAGACGCTGCCCTTTTTCTGAAAGGGACCCTCCGAGTACGAGCGACCCCTTCCCTAACCCCGGATCAGGGGCAGAAAGAGGACTCGCACCGTCTATGGTAAAATAGGGTAGTCTCCTTAGCCCACCGGCTTAGCCCTCTCACTCCGTCCCCCTCCCTGGCTGGAGACCCTCAGGGCCGTGTAGGGGCCAGGAGGAGGTTGCAGGAGTCAAGGGCACTGAGGACATCCAGGCCCAAACTGGGGATGGGCCAACTGCGCGCAGCAGAACCTTTCTCCACCGGGGCCGCGTGTGCCCGCCGGTCGGCTTAGGCGGAGACACCCCACTTAGCGTCCCTCCCGCTCCCGCCCTCTCCTCCCGGCCCTGTCTGCGAAAGCTCGCCTTCCTCCCCGCCCAAGTTCCGGCGCCGCTCCTGCGGGAGCGTTCCGCATCGCCCCGGGGGCCCCCACGCTAGGATCTCTGAAGCCGTTGGCAGCGCCTGGCACTTCTGAGCTCGGGGGACGAGAGCCTGAGGTTTCCGCCAGCCAGGGACGGCGAAGGGCGGAAAGCGCAGGCGGAGGCAGTGTTAGGCCTTAGGCCGGGTGGGCCGGGTCAGGCGAGACGCGCCCATCTTTCGCCATCCGGGGCGCGCGAGGTCCTCTCGGGACCCGGCCGGCGACCCGTACCTCGGGCACGCGCCTGTCGCATCCCGCAGGAAGGAGGGGTCCGGCCTGAGGCCCGGGGCGGCGGCCGCCATGGAGATCCCCTCGACCCAGGGCCGGCGCCTGGGTCCTGGCGGGCGGCCCTGACCGCCTTCCTCCCTGCCAGGGCTGGGTCGCGGACGTGCCCCTCGCGGCACTCGGCCTCCTCCGCGTCTCCGCCTTCCCCGGGCCGCACTGCTGCCTGGGCGCGGCGGCGGCGACGGCGCCCTGTTGAATGGGCTGTGAGGGCCCAGGTTTGAAGCGCTGGCGAACGCGGCCTCCGGGGGCGCACAGCAGCAGCAGCGGTGGCGACCAAACGGGTGTTGGAGTTGGCGGCGGCCATGGAGGGCCTGGCTGGCTATGTATACAAGGCGGCCAGCGAGGGCAAGGTGCTGACTCTGGCCGCCTTGCTTCTCAACCGGTCTGAAAGCGACATCCGCTATCTGCTTGGCTATGTCAGCCAGCAGGGAGGGCAGCGCTCCACGCCCCTCATCATCGCAGCCCGCAATGGACACGCAAAGGTGGTACGCTTGCTCTTAGAACATTACCGGGTGCAGACTCAGCAGACTGGCACCGTCCGCTTCGACGGGTAGGTACATCCCAAGCCAGCCTCCTTTCCTACGCGCGCGGACTCGTTAATTCACGGGCCCTCCCCTCGCTCACCCTCTCTTACCCTCTCTTCATGTAGGTACTCACTTCTCCCCTTTTTGTACCTCCTCCTGCCCCACTAATGCCCACTTCATCTTCCAGGGCTAATACTCCATTCCATGTTTTGCTGCCCGTCCTCATCAGCCCCCTACCCCTTATTCCCTCTGTGGGAAGATAACCACACCCTCGGCCTTGAGATCTAATAGATAGTCGTCTTCTCTACTAGATAGTCTGTTAACAAGCCATTTAGAGGAGGTGGCTGCCTTTCCAGGTTTTATTTTTAGTGGAACTGGTGTTGTAACTGATCAGAAATTAAGGAGGTCAGCAGTTAACATTGAAGAACTCCGAAAGAGTTATTTGAGCATCCATTTTTACTCGCTTCAAGTGAGTGGTTCCGTAAAACCTTCAGTGGGCTGCTGGACGTTAGTGTCAAAATAAGCACCTAGAACCAGCAGCAGCTGCAGCCTCGTGAGGGATTGTCACGCAGCCAGACATCTCAAGACATGATTCCGATTCCTCCACATTGCTCCGTGTAGATATATTGGCTACAAAAATGGCATTGGACCTGATGTGGGAGATGATGCCATTCTTAAATTACATCTTACCCTGTGATGTTGTGGGGAAGGTTGATCATTTACTGTTAGTCGAGGTGGGAAATTTAAAAATGCACACTGTTATGCCTAAGATTTGCCCTTGGAGTTTAATTGTACGAATTTTTGGGTAATTGACCAGAATTGTCAGGTTTGACATTATCTTCTTACTTTAACATGTTTTACAGATTACATGTAATTATAACATGTTTTACAGATAACAACTGCATAATGATTTTGCTACATATGTTTTGGTTGACTAGTGCTAGTACATAAGCTATTTTAGCTTTTTTTTTTTTTCTTTTGGAGTCAATAGGGTCTGAGCATAAAAATATATTTCTTTAGTTTTGGTGATTAAAAACTGCCTGGCTAAAACTCGATTGAAAAAACATTTCTTCTTTAAGATGACTAGGGAAATGTTCTGTTTCGGTTGATTCTTTTTTAGGTTTAAACAATGAAATCTTTTTCTATTTTAGATGAGTGGAAAATATTCATAGCATTACATCTTAATGAAATGGTAGCCCGTGGGTAATGACTTATATCACGGGTGTCACCATTATACACATTAAGGAGATGTTTTTTTTTTTCATGTTGACCAAAGATGGCAACCTGATTCATGTTTGCTTTTCCTTACTGGCTTCCGTGTCCTCTCTATAACTCCTTGCATTCCCGCACTTAGAGAAGGAGTGAAGCACAGTGACCTCTGAACCTCCAGTACCATTTCACCTGTATAAACACGTGCAGTCATTGAGATATGAATTTCTGTAATAACAGCTGCTTAGGAATACTGCTGCTGAGGCAATGTGCATAAGGGAGAATAGTGGGGAGAAAAAAGAGTTAAGAATTTCGAAAGGTTTTGCTTATTGCCATTTTTTCAGTCATCAAAGATGTTTTGAGGTGGCAATTAAAAGAACCTGAAATGACTAGAAATGTAGCATTGAGCCTGTGTAGTGGCTTATCTTGCCCAATGTTCTGTACTGGACAGAGAAATTAATGAGTTTGGTAAGTAAACATTTATTGAACACCTACTGTGTGCTATGTTCTGTGGTAGGGATTGGATATGCAGAGATGAATAACATACTCTTCTGTCGTGGAGGATGACAGTCTGGGTGTGGGGAGAGAAATTAATACATGAGTATTTGCAGATGCCATGCCATTTAGGGTTGTAGAAATCATTTGGACTACTGAGGGAAAACAGGGAAAGGAAGTGCTCAGTTTTATCTGGGGGGGAATCTGGAAAGGCTTCACAGAGGAGGTGATGTTCGAGCTGTGTTTTAAAGAATAGCAGTGGAACATGAAGAAGGGGGACAACAGCTTGATGCTCTTGCAGTGACTAGTGTTTCAGTGCTGTTGCAAGAAGGGATTCAAGTTGGAGCAATTAAGAAAGAGATTGTGGGAGACTGGAGAGAGCTGGAGACCAGATGATCCCTGTATAAAGTACTAAGAGTAAGACTGGTGAAACTGCAATCTCAAATGTTTCCATCATTTATGATTTCATCTCCTTGATTCCGTATATTAGTTTAGCTTATGGATTATTACAGTTATGAATTAGCTGCTATGTAAAAATAGTTTAGTCTTTATTAAATGCTTATGATGGGCCTAGCCTTGTCATGTTCTGGAGGAAATGTAAGGTACAGGAAATCTAAGGTTTCTACTTTTGAGAAGCTTACAAATTAATTAATAAAAGAGGTATTGAAGTTCCTGGTCCTCTTTGCCCATTCACACCCTCTGTGAGATTATTTTGCCCTTTATCCCAGTCATTTTAGCATTTTAGAACCAAAAAAGAGTGTGATGATTTCACTTTGCATTTGTTTCAGACATTGTGAAAATGTTAGCCTGAGTACATTAACAATAGAAAGCTGACTTGACCCTTGGGGGCTGACCATTGAAAAATACATAGCCAGAACCGCCCCCCTCCCCAACCCCAACCCTTGGCACTTGAGACACATGGCCAGGTAGGGAAGCTGTGTGCTGAAGTAGATTAGCGTTTCTAATTTTTAGTCATTCACGTGCTATCTTCACAATTTTTGGCCAGATTGTTCAGTAACTATCCTGCTGTTTACTTAATAAATATATTTTCTTTAAATTGTGTGTTATTTTTTTGATAGTTGTCTTTAGAATGTTTTACTTCTTAGCTTCATCTTGTGTAATTATGAGTTTGCTGTGTGTTGTGTGTGTGTGCGTGAGAGACATACATTAAAATAAATATTAACGAAAGTTTAAAAAAGTCTGTTTTACTAAAAACTTCTATAATACCTTAGGAAACTAAAGTGGATTCATGGTAGAACCTCGAGGGGAAAGGGACCACCCACCTAGAATAAATAGCCATTGATATATGAGTTCTTGTTTACATTTTTAGGAGTAACATTTGAGATTATTTTACTTGTGGCTTGACATGTGAATACCATGTTGATATAGATGAGTGGACAAGAAGAAAAGTCATATGAGTGGGAATGAAAGAAGATCCCTTAGTTGAATAGTGGGAAGCTGTTTGTTAAGAATGTTATAAAAATGGAACAGAACAAGGGGGAGGTGTCATGTGACCATGGAACATTGTGCTGGCCTGAGTTCTGAGGGTCTGGCTGCTCTCTCCCAGAGTTTGTGAAGACCACCTGTCCTTGAAGGGGTTTGCTGATGTGGATGGGGAGAATAGGACCTCCGAGAATTTTGAGGCTTTTTGTTGGGTGTTGTTACCTTTAAAGTCAGTGCTAGTACTAATATTTCTGATAAATGTTCAGGTAGAGGAAAGGCATGAGGGGCATGCCAGTATTTGACTTCATTTAGAAAGTCATTGTCAATATATATTTCAAGGAATTACATTTCATGTAATATATGATTTTTAAGGACCTTGGTTAAAATAAAGTGTGGATCGTTTATATTTAATGAATTTTTATTTCCCTTTCAAATGTTTGAACCAGGCATTTCTATTTCAGATTGAACCAGGTAATAGATGAGCTCAGCCTTGTGATCAGAAATGTTATCTCTTATTGTGAAAAGTTTCCATCATCTGGTGCATACTATTTGTTTGAAAAGGTGAATATCAGATTATAGTTTCTTGATTTGAAGATGAATACATAATAGAGAACTTGCATTGTAATTTTGGACTGGGCCTAGAAAGATAATTGCTTTATAGTGCTTCTCCTTTAGGAACTTAGTAAATATTGCATTAATTTTATTTTATCTTTAATTTCTGTTAAATGAGGTGTTTTGTTTTGAGGCAGTATAGTCTTATAATTTCAGCTAGATTTTATAGATGGAGGAGTGTCATAAATGTTAGTATTATAATTCTCTTTAATCTGCGTAATATTTTGATTTAGATGTAGAAATTCCAAATTTACCAAGGCTAATGTTTCTGAAGGACCAGTCTCGTGAAACATTCTGCATTGAATTCTTTTGTCATAGAATATCTTTAAAATTTTTAATTGCCTCAATAGAAATAGGTAATTTGAACTTTTTTGAGGCTCCTGTCAAACGACTGTAGCTCAAGGGAAAAAATGGAAATTAATTAGACTATACCAGGAAAAATATTAAATTGACCAAGTAGTTTCCATTATAAAAACCAAGTGAATACTTGTAATTTAATTTTTACTCTTACATCATAGATTCTGAGAAGTTTGAGATCAGAAAAATATTTTAATCACTTTTTGTCTCTTTTCATCTCTAAAATGAGGGTAATGCTTTTCTTGTAGGGTTATTGCTAGGGTTAAAGATAATGTGACTGCCTATTTTAATCTAACATTTCTTGAGTTTGAAGTAGTTTAGATTCCTGTTCCCTGGCTTTTAATAATTACATATCTTAAAAACCAGGCCAGTTGCAGTGGCTCACACCTGTAATCCCAGCACGTTGGGAGGCCTAGGTGGGGAGATCATTTGAGCTCAGGAATTTGAGACCATCCTGGGCAACATAGTGAGACCTCAACTCTACCAAAAAAAAAAAAAAAAAAAAAGGTAGTATGCAGTCTCAGCTACCCAGGAGGCTGAGGTGGGTGGATCCCTTGAGCCTGGGAGATCTAGGCAGCGGTGAGCAGTGGTGCTATGGCACTGCCATGAGCAGTGATTGTGCCACTGTACTTAGCCTGTGCAAAACAAAAGCAAAACAAATCCAGTGCAAGGAAACATTGTAACTATGTAATTGTCACTATGTATTAACTTTGTATTTTTTGATTATATTAACAATCAGTTTGGAAATGTTCTTTAAATTGAAACAAATGTTTGAACAATGATGTGTACTGTGTTTCCTTACCTTTGATGCATTTTATGGTATTCCAAGTACTTTTGTATTTTTAATCTTGTAAACTTTTTTTTTTTTTTTTTCCTTGAGACGGAGTTTCGCTCTTGTTGCCCAGGCTAA